TGCTCCACAATCCCCCCCCCCCCCACACTTTCAGTTGCCATTGTAATATATCCCTCCCCACTTCCAGGTGCTATTGTAACCAGACAATCAAAGTTATTCACTTCACCCTTCAGTGGCCACAATGTTATGGCTGATCGGTGCATGTTTATAGATGTAAATACACCATGGGGGAATCATATTGGAGAATAAATAAAGTTGTTTTAGAGCAGTGTAAAATATTCTAAATATTGCAGCAGCCGGTTTACCCCCCATCACAGCAGTTACATCAGTATTACAGCAGGCTGAGTCCCAGGTGAATGCTGGAAGCAAAAGGCAGCAATAATACAATATACAAGATCTTCATTTATGTGTGTACATATATATATATTATAGATACATACATACACAGTGTGGCAAATAATGATTTGATCCCCTGCAGATGTTGTAGGTTTGCCCACTTACAGAGAAATGAAAGGTCTATAATTGTTATCATAGGTGTATTATAAATGACAGAGACAGAATATCAACCAAAAATCCAGAAACAACACAAATGATACAAATGTTATAAATGGAGTTGCAGTTCAGGGAGTGAAATAAGTATTTGATCCCCAAGCAGAACATGACTTAGTACATGGTGGAGAAACGCTTGTTGGCGAGCACAGAGACGTTTCTTGTAGTTGGTTACCAGGTTCACACATCTCAGGAGGGATGTTGGTTCCTTTACAGATCTTCTCTTCTCTAAATCCTTCAGGTTTCTTAGCTGTTGCTTGGCAACTCGAAGTTTCAGCTCCCGCCATACATTTTCTATAGGATGAAGGTCTGGAGACTGGCTAGGCCACTCCATGGCCTTAATTTGCTTCTTCTTCAGCCACTGCTTTGTTGCCTTGGCGTTATGTTTTGGATTATTGTCATGGTAAAAGACCCATATACGACCCATCTTCAGTGTTCTGGCTGAGGAAAGGAGGTTCTCATCCAAGATTTTACAATACATGGCCCCGTCCATTGGCCCCTCAATGCAGCAAAGTCTTTAGCAGAGAAACAGCCCCAAAGCATAATGTTTCCACCTCCGTGCTGGACCGTAGGGACGGTGTTCTTAGGACATAGTCAGCATTTTTCTTCCTCCAAACACGGCGAGTCCAGTTCATGCCAAAGAGCTCAATTTTGATCTCATCTGACCGCAGCACTTTCTCCCAATCCTTCTCTGAATCATTTAGATGTTCATTGGCAAACCTCAGATGGGCCTGTACATGTGCTTTCTTGAGGGGGACCTTGCGGGCGCTGCAGGATCTCAAGCCATGGCGGTGTATTGTGTTACCAATGGTTTGCTTGGTGACTGTGGTCCCAAATGCCTTGAGATCATTCACAAGCTCCTCCCATGTAGTTCTGGGCTGATCCCTCACTTTTCTCATGATCATCCTTACCACATGAGGAGAAATCTTCCATGGAGCTCCAGACTGAAGGCGATTGGTGGTTATTTTGTGTTCCTTCTATTTGCCAAAAATCGCTCCAACAGTTGTTTCCTTCTCACCAAACTTCTTGCTGATAGTCTTGTAGCCCATTCCAGCAGTGTGCAGGTCTACAGTCTTGCCCCTAACGTCCTGCAACAGCTCTTTGGTCTTGCCCATAGTGGGGTCTTTAATATACATAACGAGTTGTCGTTAGGAGAACCTTTTTTAAGTGGCAGGACTCATCTGTGTATCTTTAATTGGCAGGACCTAGGAGGAGGTCCAACACAAGTATCTTTATATGGGGGGACCTAGGAGGAGGTCCAACACAAGTATCTTTATATGGGGGGACCTTGGAGGGGGGTCCAAAACAGGAATCTTTATATGGGGGGACCTAGGAGGAGGTCCAACACAAGTATCTTTATATAGGGGGACCTAGGAGGAGGTCCAACACAAGTATCTTTATATAGGGGGACCTAGGAGGAGGTCCAACACAAGTATCTTTATATGGGGGGACCTAGAAGGAGGTCCAACACAAGTATGATGGGAAATCCAACAATCCGAGTTGCCACTAGAACAGCACTGGAGGGGAAAATATTCCAATGGGGACACCTGTTGAGGTGACAACTGTGAAGACAAACCTCCCTAATGAGACATAGATGGAGCTACCCCCCACCCCATTTCATGGATAGCGTTTGTTCCAACCCTGAAACTGCCACCTTTGTTGACCAGCTCGGCCTGTTCTACTTTAAACGTAGGAACTCTCTACAGAACACATGACAACATGATCCCGACCTCTGGCATTGTCATGTGATGCCAGCAGAGGCCGGAGAGGGGACGGGCTTCTGTCTATACAGATGGTGGGGGAGGAGTCTCTATACAGAGAACAGAGGAGGGGCTTTTGTCTATACAGATGGGGAGGAGTCTCTATACAAAGTGGGGAGGGGCTTCTGTCTATACAGATGGTGGGGGAGGAGTCTCTATACAGAGAACAGAGGAGGGGCTTTTGTCTATACAGATGGGGAGGAGTCTCTATACAAAGTGGGGAGGGGCTTCTGTCTATACAGATGGTGGGGGAGGAGTCTCTATACAGAGAACAGAGGAGGGGCTTTTGTCTATACAGATGGGGAGGAGTCTCTATACAAAGTGGGGAGGGGCTTCTGTCTATACAGATGGTGGGGGAGGAGTCTCTATACAAAGGGTGGGGGTGGCCTTCTGATCTCTATACAGAGGTTGGGGAGGGGCTATTTGTCTATACAGAGGGTGGAGGAGGAGGGGCCATTTGTCTATACAGATGGTGGGGAGGAGTCTCGCTATACATAGGGTGGAGGAGGAGGGGCTTCTGTCTATACAGATGGTGGGAGAGGAGACTGGCTATAGAGAGGGAGGAGGAGGGGCTGTCTATACAGATGGTGGGGGAGGAGTCTCTATACAGAGGGCAGAGGAGGGGCTTCTGTCTATACAGAGGGTGGGGGAGGAGTCTCTATACAGATTGTGGGGAGGGGCTTCTGACTATACAGATGGTGGGGAGGAGTCTCTATACAAAGGGTGGTGGGGGACTTCTGTCTATACAGATGGTGGGGAGGAGTCTCTATATAAAGGGTGGAGGATGAGCCGTCTATACAGATGGTGGGGGAGGAGTCTAGCTATACAGAGGGAGGAGGAGGGGCTTCTGTCTATACAGATTGCGGGAGAGGAGACTCGCTATAGAGAGGGAGTAGGAGGGGCTATTTGTCTATACAGATGGTGGGAGAGGAGACTCGCTATACAGAGGGAGGAGGAGGGGCTTCTGTCTATACAGATGGTGGGAGAGGAGACTCGCTATACAGAGGGAGGAGGAGGGGCTATTTGTCTATACAGATGGTGGGGAGAAGTCTCGCTATATAGAGGGTGCAGGAGGGGCTATTTGTCTATACAGATAGTCGGGGAGGGGTCGCTCTCATTCTCTCTCTATATTATCTCCCACCTGTCCTCGGAATCCATGCGGCTGAGCGGTTCGGCCTCCTCGCATCTGGTGGTCCCGTTACGTGAGATGACCCCGATGGTCGGGGCGCTGCTGATTGTACTGGCCGTGCTGTCCCCGCCCCTCCCCGGGCTGCTGGACCTCTCGGAACTCCGATCATCGTCCTCATACGGGGCGACAGGGCTCTCACAACACGGGGGTTCCAGACTGTCCACCGCCATCGCTGATCACTGCACCACACGAGATGACGTCAACAGGGGGTGGTGACTGCGTGTGGGGAGGAGACGCGGATTGACGTCGACCGAAGGGTAGGGGCGGTGTACAGAAGTGGAATACGGGGGCGGAGACACGGATTACGACAAGAAAGCTCTAAACGCAAATCAGACTCCGCCCCTTGTCTGACTGACAGTATTCAGGGAATGGTGTCCTCATGGCCCCGCCCCCGGGTCTGCGGCTAATGCATCCTTTGTCATCCGTGTATTACGTACGTGCAGTGTCCCGATAACCATATATCAGAAATCGGAGGTTTTGTTGTGTTTTGTAGAGTTTATTTTTTAACGAGGTGCTGCTAGACATCGGTTCTCTGAGTTGCCATGGTAACAAGTAATCAGCTTGGGGGCTTCGGGGAGTAGGGCGGGGCCTAGTGTGAGGCTTCTTCTCTGGAAGACAAAACCGGATTTTGCCGCAATATTCACCCTGCGGTACTTTGCAGAGGCTCCCCTGCAGTACTCTGATGTCTGCCACTAGATGTCCCCAGTCAGCTGACCGCCTTCATTTAATCCACCGCCAGCCTGTGATTAGACAGTGGAAGGAGAAGCAGCACTGTGATGGGCTCAGCTCTCTGTCACTCCTTTCAGCATTCTTCTACTCACCCCATGAGCTGAATGGCTCCTTGTGCTACTTCTTCCTCTCACTCCCCAGCCCTGCTGTACAGGCAGATACCAGGTCACATTCAGGTACTGTAGTAGTTCATTCTGCACCATGACAGGAAATTGAGGAACCCCGACTGTTCTCATTTCATCATGGGGCAGATTATCAGGGGTGGGGAAACTCCGGCCCTCCAGCTGATGTGGAACTATAAGTCACATGAATCATTGCAAGATTCTCACAGACATGACTACCTGAGACAGATGCATGATGCAATGTGTAGTTTCACCACAGCTGGGGGGCCAGAGTTTGCCCACCACAGGGTTACAGGGTGGCTATGGGGTAGAAGATTCCAGATTCATAAATGTCCCGGTTAGTAAAGTACGTCATCTTAGCGCTATTCTCTCTCATAATACATTGGGGGCGGGCAACCTCAGCACTCCAGCTGTTGTGGAACTACAAGTCCCATGAGGCATTGCGAGACTGATAGTTACAGGCATGACAGGTTACCACAGCCGTTCTGGATGGAGCCGCACATTGGGGGAGGGGCGTCACCTACCTGGGGATTATTGGCAGCCATCCTGCAGCACACATTACCTGCTGTTTCTTCCCAATGCTCCACGCTCGGCCAAATATACATTGCAGTGATCCTGTACCTGGCAGTGACATTAGGGCCCCCTCGGTGATCCTACACTCGGCAGTGACATCAGGGCCCCCCCTCGGTGATCTCGTACCTGGCGGTGACATCAGACCCCACCTCAGTGATCCCGCACCCGGCAGTGACATCAGAGCCCCCTCAGTGATCCCGCACCTGGCAGTGACATCAGAGCTCACCTCAGTGATGCTGTACCTGGCAGTGACATCAGAGCTCACCTCAGTGATGCTGTACCTGGCAGTGACATCAGAGCTCACCTCAGTGATGCTGTACCTGGCAGTGACATCAGAGCTCACCTCAGTGATGCTGTACCTGGCAGTGACATCAGAGCTCACCTCAGTGATGCTGTACCTGGCAGTGACATCAGAGCTCACCTCAGTGATGCTGTACCTGGCAGTGACATCAGAGCTCACCTCAGTGATGCTGTACCTGGCAGTGACATCAGAGCTCACCTCAGTGATGCTGTACCTGGCAGTGACATCAGAGCTCACCTCAGTGATGCTGTACCTGGCAGTGACATCAGAGCTCACCTCAGTGATGCTGTACCTGGCAGTGACATCAGAGCTCACCTCAGTGATGCTGTACCTGGCAGTGACATCAGAGCTCACCTCAGTGATGCTGTACCTGGCAGTGACATCAGAGCTCACCTCAGTGATGCTGTACCTGGCAGTGACATCAGAGCTCACCTCAGTGATGCTGTACCTGGCAGTGACATCAGAGCTCACCTCAGTGATGCTGTACCTGGCAGTGACATCAGAGCTCACCTCAGTGATGCTGTACCTGGCAGTGACATCAGAGCTCACCTCAGTGATGCTGTACCTGGCAGTGACATCAGAGCTCACCTCAGTGATGCTGTACCTGGCAGTGACATCAGAGCTCACCTCAGTGATGCTGTACCTGGCAGTGACATCAGAGCTCACCTCAGTGATGCTGTACCTGGCAGTGACATCAGAGCTCACCTCAGTGATGCTGTACCTGGCAGTGACATCAGAGCTCACCTCAGTGATGCTGTACCTGGCAGTGACATCAGAGCTCACCTCAGTGATGCTGTACCTGGCAGTGACATCAGAGCTCACCTCAGTGATGCTGTACCTGGCAGTGACATCAGAGCTCACCTCAGTGATGCTGTACCTGGCAGTGACATCAGAGCTCACCTCAGTGATGCTGTACCTGGCAGTGACATCAGAGCTCACCTCAGTGATGCTGTACCTGGCAGTGACATCAGAGCTCACCTCAGTGATGCTGTACCTGGCAGTGACATCAGAGCTCACCTCAGTGATGCTGTACCTGGCAGTGACATCAGAGCTCACCTCAGTGATGCTGTACCTGGCAGTGACATCAGAGCTCACCTCAGTGATGCTGTACCTGGCAGTGACATCAGAGCTCACCTCAGTGATGCTGTACCTGGCAGTGACATCAGAGCTCACCTCAGTGATGCTGTACCTGGCAGTGACATCAGAGCTCACCTCAGTGATGCTGTACCTGGCAGTGACATCAGAGCCCCCCTCAGTGATGCTGTACCTGGCAGTGACATCAGAGCCCCTGACTGGTCTTGTCCCCAACCCCTCCTGTAATAAAGACCGCTCACTGCTGCCCTCTCTGCTTGTGCAGGGTGACTGGTCTTGTCTCCACCCCTTCCAATAGTTCTTTCAAATCAGCCTGTGGAGGGTGGAGCTGCTGGGCCCCTCCCACATTTCTGCACAGGCTATGTACGGCACAGTGATGATGTCACTGCTACATTTATATGGTAATATCCGAGTTTGTAAAGGCATTTGGCGCAAACAAAATTGATTTGTATCATATGTGGCTAGGTGGGCCTTATTGAAGAACACTGCTGACCCGCTCCGTTACTGGCTTATTCTACCAGCTAATCACAGGAAGATGCGTTATCTGAATATCATCACATCAATACTTATTGGAGCGGTATACCACTTTCCCTTTTATAAAGCAAATATATATATATATATATATATAAGGTGCCTTGGCGCGGCTTTCACATAGCAGAAGACGTGTTTCCAAACCTCTGTTTTTAACCTTAGTGTTTAGACAGGTTTTTTTGCATGCTGGCCGGTGAGTGTGCCTGGAAACTTTTTTCTGGGAGTCATGCCTGGCGCTGAGAACCTTACAATGCCTCATGGGATTTGTAGTTCAACAACAGCTGGAGGGCCAGAGTTTGCCCTCCCCTGGAATATATTCATTTTTGATACATATCACATCTCTGTTCACATTTATATTATGAATATAATTCATATAAATAATTCATAAAAATATAATACAAATAATAAAAAATAATATTAACAAAATAATATAAA